CTGAGCCGGTGAGATTTGAACCGCTGACCTGCTGATCTAGCAGTAGCCTGCAGTGCTGCATTTAACCACTGCGCCACCTTGGCTCTAGATTTGGTCTGTATTCGTGCAAAGAGACTGGACTGTCAGAAATGGTATATATAAGGTCTCCTGCTTGAGCAAGAGGTCGGACTAGATGACCTACAAGGTACCTTCCAACTCTATTATTATCCAACTCTGTTATTCTATTCTAAACCCCAAGCCATGATTTATCTTGTTGTGGATAATTCAGGAAGTCATTGTCTGAGTTTGCCTAAGTTTCTGACCATCAAAAACAGTTCGCAAGACACATTAGCAGAACCACAGACAAGCAAATGGTATTTGTGTGACACTTTCAGTCTCCTAGGTAACAGGAAAAATGTGGGATGGATGATCCCACTGCTAGATAGATTTATTGAACAGCTATATCCCAGGTGTTGACCTTAATGGGTCTATTATATCCACCTGGAGTGGGGTATGCAGGGACTTATATCAGGATTCAAATTGGGCCTAATGCTCCTCAACATCTTCATAAATTAGATGAAAGGATATTCATAAACTTTGTGGATGTCCATAAAGCTGAGGCTGATTGCCAATGCTGGAATAAAGAACCTAACAATTCAATCAGTCAATCAGAACTGAGCTGGAAGGGACCATAGAGATCTTCTAGTTCAACCCCTGCTCAAGCAGGAGACCCATTTCAGACAGTGGCTGTCCAGTCTTTTCTTAAAAACATCTAGTGATGAAGCACTCACAACTTCTGAAGACAAGCTTTCCCCACTGGTTAATTGTTCTCACTGTTATGAAATTTCTCCTTAATTCCAGGTTGCTTCTCTCCTTGAATAGTTTCCATCCATTGTTTCTTGTCTTGCATTCTGGTGCTTTGGATGAGTCGACCCCCTTTTTCTTTATTGCAGCCCCACAAAGGGAACACTGCTATTATGTTACCCGCAGCCTTTCTTTTCTCCAGATTGGCCATACCCGGTTCCTATAACCATTCTTCATATGTTTTAGTCTTCAGGACTTTTGAATTGAATTGAATTGAAGATGGACACAATAGACATGAATATTGGGCCCTATCCAGCCAAATGTTCAGTGTTGAGAAATGTAATGTTCTGTCCTTAGACAAGGAAAAAACAGATGCACAGGTGCATGTTAGGCTTCTAGTAGTAATTGCAAGAAGGAATGGGAAGTTTGGTAAACCACAGATTAAGAATTGTGCTGCAGTTGCCAAAATGCAGTTTGGGGCTGTAGCAACAGATATATATATATATATAT